TATAAATAAAATAAGAACGTTAATGTTCCATTATAAGAACAATGTTAAGTCAATTATTTAACGGCTCCTGAGTTGCAGCGCTGGGGGCCGCGGATTCGAATCCCGCACTGAACAAGTATTACACTACCACAAATAATTGTTCCGGGTCTGGATGTTTGGCCATCAAAAGAATCATCACTAGCCAGATACAATCTGAGAAAAAATGTTTACATAAAATTTTGATTTTAAACGTTAAACTTTCTGTGTCGGACATAATCTTTTATTTAAGTCTAGGTCATTTGGAACCGATTTATTAATGTAAAGATAAAAATAATTCATATTATAGTAAAACACCACACAAACAAAAACAAAAAATTACACCAGGTACCAATAGCAGATATTAATAAACATTTCAACTGTTTCACTTTTATATTTAGTCAGATTTAAATTTATTTGATCTATAACTTCTATCTGACGGTTGTAAATCAGTCATTAGTAGTCTAAAGCCTACGCTGTTTTTTTTTTTCTAAAAGCATATAGGTCCTTTACAGATTGAAACTAACCATTTAACGAATATCAAATGTAAATTGGTATAATTTTGAATTAAAAAACTGAAGTTTGATAACATATTCTATTATACATACTAAATAAAAAAAATAATGATATGACTCTAAAATGTAGTAACAAATTTGACGCTTTATTCCATTGTATTATTAATGCAGTACACAACGGGACAAATAAATAGTTACTGACGTAATTCTATACCACTATTTGAAATTCAACTACGTAAGTTGTAAATTTTAAATCATGTAAAATTATAAAAATAATAGGTTAGGGACATTTTGATTAACATTGAAATTCATGTATATTGTGAGAATAGTGAATATTGTATTTAATTGAATGGCATGAATTGGCAGCCCTGTGGCTAGGTTATAGTAATGGCCGGCGCGGAAGCCGCGGCGAAGCGGAGCGTGCAGCGACGGCGGGCGCGGCGCCGCTAGTGATAGCAGCCGCGCGCCGCCCGACCCAATTGGTCGGCACGCTGAGCCCGCCCAGAGGAGGGGGCGCCGCACACACACGCAACACACCTAAGATAATTTATTTTATGTTATACCGTTTGAATATTTTATATCTGTGTGAGTTTTTTGCGTTCAGTGTGAAATATTCGCGCGATAAGAAAGAAGAGGGGAACAGATCGATCGGGGAGCGTTGCGCTTTTATTCCGGCGTTCGGTTTCTGCTGCTGTCGTTGCTTAATTGCGGATCCTCGGCGCTCCCGTGGCGCAGCGGGGTTCTTTACTGGGACCTCGGAGACGCCGCTCTGCGGCTCTGCGCTGTGTTAGGTACTTAACACTTGTACGGAAATTATCCATGCGCCTTTGTTTCTGTACTATCGCGAAACAAATAAGCTATCCAACTGATTGTCATATTAGGCGGTGCGGTTTTCACTAATTTTGAACGCACTTTTATGTTTTTGCAATCATTAATAGCCAAACGATCAATTTAAGCCGGTATTATATTAGTGCTTACCTACTGAGATTCTTACCATTTAATCAAAATTTAAAACATCAAATGGAAATTATATCTAATAAATCGATTAAATAAGTAATAGAACATTATATCTTAGGTAAAGATCTTAAAAAAAATACGTTATCCGAATATTTTGTAAATCGAAATTTATTTAAATTTAAAAGACCTTAATTAGTAGATACCTATGTAACTAATGTATTTACTGGACTTTTAACTTTTTTTTATGATTTCGAAGTTGAAATGTAAGCGTCGCACCGGTGCAAAGTGAAATATCGAACTGATAACCTAACTTTATAAGAAACCAACAAAAATAAGGTACGCTTATGAGGAGTTCTAGCCTTACAATTATTAATTCGGTTACACCTGAGTACTAGGGACTAATAAAGTAGAGAGGCTAACATACTATAGACAGAAGTGGAACGGTAGGATGGGGATTTTATGCACGGAAGTGCTACAGTTTAAAAATGAACGCTTTTAAATATTCAATTGTATCAAAAATATACGAAAAATAATTGTGTTTATTTCAAAAATATTATAATTTCTTTAAATAGCATTTACAGTTTCTGCTTGCAGTGATAATAATATCTAATAGACTTGGGTATCTATATTGTGTGGTTATATTTCATCCACCCATCCATTACAGCCTATTAAAGTCCACTGCTGAACATGGGGCTCCCTCGTAGATTGTCTCATTTTACAATAGTTGTCATGCTTGGCAAACGTGTTGGTAACCGCAAGTATTTTTTTTTTGAGATGCTGCCCACATCTCCCGTTTCAATATCCCTCTGTCTCCTCTTACGACACCCTCGTGACGGTAGATGATGTAGATATTTTAATACCGCCACTACACGGTCAACTACACGGCTACGTGGTCGTTATATTTATCCATCGTAAATAGCAGTATCTACCTATATATAGGTATTGGTACGAGTATTTAGTGGCGAGAAGAACCCATTAGGTACCCCAAATCATGCTGTAGGTGCCGTAAGAGGGAAACCAAAATAGGAGATGGGCATAATATGTCTTCTTCTTCATCTGTCGATAGAAGCCCACTGCTGGAGATGATGTGGGCAGAATTATCGATCGTTGTAGGTAGGTATACATTTACCATAGTGATCACGTTTGGCGGGATCTGAGAGCGTTACCAATCCTCCCTTTACATCTGTTAGAGTCACGCCGCGGCTGTATTATGTCTGCAGCGGGAATGGTTCGTCTAAAGGTGAAGGATCGCACTCGGACAGAATACTAGGATGTTATAACAGCTGTTTTGTATCATGAGTGACATAAAACAAAGAACATTTTGACTGGCAAACAGGCATCCCGTCTTAGTCGGTGACTGGATGCCTATTGGCGGTGAGCAGAGCACTCTGGTTCTTAATACCTAGACAAAAAGATGTAACTATATGGGACACATTATTTAAGTACTTACTAACAAAATCTTTAGACTCTAACAAAATCTTTAGACTCTAACAAAATCTTTAGACTCTAGCAAAAACAATATAAAGCAGCTAGAAACTATTCAGTATTAGATATAATTAAAGTTGTTGCTTATGTATGTATATGTTATGAATTGAAAATTGTTACTTAGGTACTTATGAGAACATTTTAATGCTCTTAACTCATAATGTTATCATATCCGCCCATAAAGCCAATACCTACAATTAATGCAACCTATATTTTTAATGATTCATCATGATTAGGTACAGCTTAGATATCAAAAGATCACAGCGGAACACAGGTCTCGCCATTCATTTTACCTATCATTTACGGCAAATATCCCTCCAAAAATAGTTATAACGCTTGGCAGAAGAGTTTGCTGTCATCAGACAGATGTTGCTGCACATCTCCTATTTGATTTCCTTCTGTCGCTTCTTACGATATACCTACACGGTTAAATAAGCCACTACACGGCTACTCTATAACACCTTAAAACTTACTCCCTCAAATACGTATTCATCACCTTCAGTATCTAACACAAGTAACACAGCGTAGAACCTAAATTTGAATTAATATAACCAGTGAACCTAATAAGAAAACTACCTACTATTTTGTTATAATAATGCCAATTTAATAAAATAGTTTGGTTTAAAAATAACGATCATTTTACTAAAATTAAACAAAAATGAAGAAAAATAATAGAATGATGCATTACAACATGCACTAGAGAATGTTCTTGAGATTATGAACAATAATGCATTACAGCCAAATGTGTCATGCAATTATTATTATGATTACCTATAAGTTAAAATATAGTTATAGTTATATCTTATTACAGTTAAGAAGTTCTAAATAATATATCTATATAGATCTTACTACTAATTGTACCTAGATATCAAAATTTTTACTTTATTTTAATCATTAAATGCTTGTTAATTATTTGATACTCGATTTGATAAAAGCTGTCTTTACTTTATTAAATAATCGGTTCGATAAATTATTTCATCTGTTAGATATATATTGGCACGAACTCGCACCTTTTAAAGATATCATAGACCACTTAGATCGATGAATAGGCACAGTTCGTTTCTTTACTGTCCCAATACACGATAGTTAAAATATATTTACTGTTAGACAGACATGCGATTTACTCATGCATAAATCTATATACAACAGTACGCAGAAACAACCGACCTAGAACATTGAAAAGTGTGTTTGATAATGTCATAACAACCGGTACATGTTCGCGTTTAGAGCGACCTGAGTGTACACATCAGTCCGCGACAGCCTCTAACACACCTACTTATACCGAACACAGTGCGGCGTTGTAGAAAAATAAAAATTACAAATGTCGTGGTTACCTTTAATCACATGCAAAGCTATCATTAAGTCGACTACGGCGGACTCGCTTGTCGTGAGCGTTGTCACTGTTAATTATCACAATATATACTTATAAAGCGAAATAAAAGAGACCGCTCCATAGCGGCGGCGGCATAAAAAATACGAGAAAAGAAAGAGAAGCTTTTGAAAAAAAAAAGAAAGGAGTGCATCTACCCCCACCGTGGCTCCCCCCTCCGAGCGGGCGGCCCCTCGCGGGCACCACCCACCGTACCGCAAAAATCGAGAGCGTCGGCAGCGGCGCGGGGTCAAACGGCGACGTGAAAAGAAGCGGTGTGAGAACGCACACAGACGCGGGCGTGCGTGTGCGCGCCGAGAGGGACGGGCGAAGCGCGAGCGGGACGGCGGCGCCAATTACTATCACCTGGCGGGCAGCTACCGCATTACCCACTGCCGCCGCGCGCGCGACGACGCGCCCGCTGCTCCACGCGGCCGCTCCCGTACGCTCCGCCGGCACCCGGACTCCGCGATCGATCGCGGCCGAGTGCAGCGCCGCTTGACGCTCCACGCTCGCCGCTGCCCGCTAGCCGCTCGCCGCTCGCTACTCCGCTGTACAACTCGGCCGTTCCCGGGCAACATGAAACTGTGAAGTGTGTGCGGACAGTGTTACACGAACTCGTGATACAAATTCACCGGCTAATTTTTCAATTGTGAAAAATGACGTCCCAATTCGCCTTCCGAGGATCGCCCCCGAACCAGGTAAAATTGTGTACCTAACAACCTTAAATGTGAATTTAATTTATTGTTAATAATTCTGTAGCACTGCGATTTATTTTAACGAACTTTACTATTTTATTCTTTTGAAATTTCCATGCGTCTGTGGTATGATTATGTGGTTTCGGATTTAGTGAAGTTAGTCAAAGTTATTTCAAAGTTTGTTACGTGCTTGTTTAGTTTTCACAAAAGTAAATTTTGTACGATCAAAGTTTTAATAACGTAAAATCGAATTACATTTTGAAACTTTCTACGTGTTATTTCGAGTTGATATCTATAAAAATAATATTTCATTCAGCAAAAATAATATTTGCATTAATTTGAATGAGATTAATTTGAATGATATAGTAGAATTAAAGATCATGCAAGTAGAAAAATATAATTTTGTACATTTTAAGTCATCGCAGACGTTCTTCTATATACTTTCTAATTATTACCTATAGTTATCACTCATTGTTGAGAGTGCATACAAAGAGGAAAATTTATTTTATTTAGTGCATACAGACTCCTAATGTTAAGGGTATCGTGCTCACTACCAGCATTAATCAAACATGTTACCTACATGTTACAATCCTCTTTGACAGCACTTTGTCTTAGTTTATTTGCTCGTCTATAAAATTATTTTATCCGACGGTAATAAGGGTCTAAATAAATATATGAACTTTATCGAGTAACGAACAATCGATACTTAATGTAGTTTAAAGTGAACCTAGGTACTAATAGACTAATTTCAAATTATCAAACATATAATATCATCATAAAATATATCAAAAGATTTAAAAACTATTTAAAATAAGAACAGAGAACATTAGATAAATTGAGTGCGTAGGAGTAGACATTCGATTGTTTTTATTAATAATTAACAAAAAATCATTTCTTAATAACAAGATAATACTATTAATCAATTTATCCGTCATGATATGATTTCGAAATATGAGACGTGGTAGTGTAAACAAAAGATGCAATTTAACACTGCACTTCCATGTTGCAATGAGCTGAGCTGTAAGGTTAGGTAATATAAAAGATATCGTTTACTCTTTAATGACAATAATACTCATAAATTAAAGTATGTTACGTACTAAGAATTAAAATTCTACAAATATTTGTAATAGAGTTTAAATATGGCATAATCAAAATTAGTTGAAGATTTTAAAAATTAATTACAGATGCGTAGAATAAAATAATATGATGTGTCTTACCTAGTTTGGAGAGCACTTCCCTCTAAGTGCTCTAGGTAAGATACATAATTTTAGCTATATAACATATAATACATGTTAGCTAAATAACATATACCTAATAGCTTTAATATTACCGCACAGTAATGCCTGATTCTATTAATTAATCAAAATTGGCGTACTTTGTGAATTATTAAAAACATATTTATGATCTTGTATCGAAAATGTGAAGCTTTGCTAAAAGCTGAGAAATTACATAATTTCTTGGAAAAATACTATTCAATGTTACTTAGTCATCGTTTATTCTAATTTAAAATGCTAATATAGTGTAATTAAATATCGTTCTTTAAGGATTATCAATAAATCTACCAAAACATAAAATAATACATAATTATAAACGAACGGGCCAAGACCTGCGAATTCTGAGTTTATAGAAATATAAATTATGAAGGCCAACCTCAATAACGTTACGAAATATAATAATATTACACGTAACACAAAAAAATATAAGTACTTTAAACTATTACACAAGTAAAATAATATAGTGAATTCCATTTTAATATATTTATGTACTTATACACAAGGGATGTAACGATAATGATACAATTTATAACCCTCTCAAAAATAAAAGATCTGTGTGCAACCGTGGGAGGTACCGAAGCTGTAACTGTACCACTCTTTACTTTATAGGCAGTTTATGACTTTTTGTTTTTTGATACGTGTGAAAACACCACTGCTAGAATCTACCTGTAAGACAATTTAAGGAATTAAAATTTAAAATAAAATAAAATAACTATTTAAGTAATAATGAAATCAACTCTAATCCAATTTTAATAGAACGATGACATTAAGGTATAAAGTAGCCTTAAAACTCGAAACACAGACTACTTTTGTTATCAACTGTCAACTGTCGAATGTACTGTAAGAAGTTACTATATAAACAGAATTTCATCTCGTACTTTATTTCAAAAAGTTTTTAGTGTTTGAGAAATTGGATTATTATAACATATTTATATTTCTCTAAATGCAATGTTTTCCTTAGATATTTTTTGGAAGGTATCCTGATACCTGTTGAATTGTGATTTCGATACGTTACTGGTTGGCTGTGACCCAAGTATTATCGCTTTTTAAATTCAAGAGTCAATGTGCTTTAAAAATCAGAATAATTCTATTAATTTTTATTATTTTCTCCCTTTTCTTCTTTACTTACCGGTAAAGAAAGAAGAAAAGGGAGAAAGGTCCGCTGTTGGACTTGGGTTCTCTCGCATTGTCGGGAGGAGGTGCCTTTATCGTTACGCTTGGCAATGGCAAGCGGATGGATAATATTCCCAGTATCTAGTACAACGGTTCTTAACCGGTGGTCTGTGGACCACCGGTGGATAAAGGTACCCAAAGTGGTCTGCAAAGGCATCGTGCAATCCCCTCAAATATAAAAGAGCGAATACAACAAATGTACAAAAGATGTAAACACGACTCCTTACCTTAAAGTAAGTGGCACACAATGTGTCACTTAGTATAGAAGAAGTGTCCATGGTAAGCAATTGGTCAAATGGCTCATCTTCATTAAAAGCTTAAGAACCACTGATCTAGCATATCTCCCACTTTTGATGCTGATGTCCATCGTCAGTCTGATTACTTGATTAACACCTGGAGTAACAAGTGTGATGTTTATTTTGTCATCATGTTTTGGGAACCATAATAATTTTCTGGCATTTCTATTCTTCAATGATTTTTTGGTCATTACCGAAAATCAGCGCTGTGGTTTCGCGACATCTCGTACTGAGTACCTCGACCTTTTTTGGCATGCTTTCGACGTAGGTACAAAGCCAAATTTATTATGCTTTAGTATTTCTGTTGTAAAGTAAATTGTTGTTTACGTCAATGGTCTGTGCCAAAATAAAGCGTTTCTTTATTTCTTTCATTTCTCATAATCGACTCACACACCCATGGAATTTAAAAGTAATATACCTAGATCATAGATTATTACGCATCCTCTTTATTATAGTGATAACATAACATTCGTCACAGTCACGCTTGTAGAAATTCTGTTTAATGCTCATTGCTTATGTTTTTTTGCAATCTTTAACTTATTATGATATTATTAATTAAGCACATACTAATTCGGTATACTTTTAGTTAATTAACAACCACATTAACAAATTAAATAGTACACTATGCTAACAAATTGTTGTAATATTCGCCTATTTACCCATTGATATTTAAGGGTAATATAATAATATTATGTATGATTTTATAACGTAGATCCTGCCAGTTAATGTCATAGGTTATTTTCAGCAATTTTTTTTATTTTATTTAGCGTATTCAATTTAAATTCCGCATCTGATAGAAAAAAAAATTGTGTCTGTCTTAATTTTTATTTCAATTTATTTTAGTTTATAAATATAATATGAATATATATGTATATATATATATATATATATATACATACCAATTTTCATTTATTAAAGTAATGAATAAAACGGTCAATTAAAACAATCAACTTATGATAACTTAACAATAGCCTTATGTGAATGAACAAACTTTTTTTCAAGATCATATAATTTTATTGCACTTATTAAAGTCGCAAATACGAAACGCTGCACAATTACACAGCGGCAAGAGTTCGTAATACCGCACTGTAATTAATAGCCTAGACATAATTAGGCTCTGAATAAACACAGGCTATTTGAGGTATGATATCGCGGAGCTTTATATATTAAAGAAGCCGCGGTCTCGAAGGCCGCCCATTGACTATGTGTATACATATTACACTATACATATCTACTTAAGTTAATGCCTCGAACTGATCCTCGGGTCTTGCAACGTTTATTCAAGTTATTTGTCGTCAGTACATTCTCGGAACACATACATACTTATTGCAAAATCAACAAATTATAATTCAGTTCATTGTTTAAGCATCACACAATTATCTCTGAGTGCATATTAGTTAATAAATTATTAGATTCGCTGACAACTTTATTTGTTGTATGATAACAGTTTATTAAATTTCATGGCTGTCGTTAATATTGGTGGCTCGTCGGACTTATCTGTCCATTTAGTTCTACGTACCATATTAAAATAGTAAATCCTGAGTGAGTAGTTGGACTTTAATAAAGATAATATTATGGAATGCTTCGGTCAGGGGCCGCGTGCGTGCCGTTCCCGATCTACTTTTGCTATCTTGTAGATAAGATGCCACCATGTGGAGTAGAGAAGGGCCGCACTCCCTCGCCCGAAGGGGATTATCCTCATTATTTCTTATTTCCGAGCTCTGCTGCCGACCGACTGCTTCTTTACTTTGTTTCGCTACGTGTGGACTTTTGCTGTTTATTGCCTTTTGATACATTTAGGATTAATGTCGGAAACTTAACTTTATTCCGGTCGTTTAAAAATTGAATTAAAGAATACGCAAATATTAATATGAATTTATTATTACCAACTTTCTAACTGACGCTACACATTAGCTCTATCTAATGTGAATTTCAGCTCTACCGTAAAATAATGATACATCATACTTTTAGTTATTTTTTTATTACAATATATATTTACTTCCATAATGGGTTATAATTTTATTTAAATATTTTGATCTACGTTTTATGACAGAATTAGTGCTTATCGCAAATTGTGTCATCAAATTTGCAATTTAAATCTAGCTTGCAATAACTTTTCGCTGACGTTAGTCGAAATTTATACTAACTTCGTGTGCATATTAGCTTAATAAAGTATAACGGTTAATTGCTTCTTTTTTCCACCGTTACGAAATATACGCTCGTTTTGCCTTTACTTGCTTGAAAATAAATAATTTTAAAA